AGAAGGAAACTGGACTCCGGTGAGCCATTATCATCTAGTAGCAAGCTAGCAAGCTCAACTCGAGTTCAATCAACTTTTAATGCCAAAGACTGTTAATTTGCACGACTATATTACCTCAGACACTACTGAGAACATGGAAGCAGAGCTCTGCTCACTACCCGTGACACCTTCCAAACCCCCAGCAGAGAAGCAAAGGAAGACACGCGACGCTGACTCAAGCATCCTCTCAGAGTTAGCATCACTCACCGCCCTCATAAATACCAGATCAGATGCCCTGGAAAAGATGGTCAGTAAAAACTCTGTTGTAATTTCTGCGACTAAAGAGGCAATTAAAGACAACTGCAAGCAGACTGAGAGCATAAAAGAATCATTAGACTTTGTTTGTACTGGGAATAAAAAATCAGTTGATTGCTGTGAAAAACAAGTGAACAAATGCCAGAAATCCTGCAACTTGCATGAGAACCGTATCTCCCAACTTGAGAGTTACTCTCGTCGATGGAACTTACGACTTTTTGGATTGGAGGTAAAAGAAAACAAGATCTGAGGTGGGAAACCATCAACATCTGCCAAGCTTTGCTACCAGAGGCAAAAAACGAGTTACTGGGAGTGATCGATGCGGTTCATCGATTTGGAGTAAAGAAAAGCAGCAACACACGTCCTAGAGGGATCATCATTCGCTTTGGCCTTCGGTTTTATCAGGATGCTGTTTGGCGTTCTGCAAAACGCTCCTCCTTCCTACAAGAAAAAAGCTGAGGTTTGTTGAAGATCTGTCTGCAGAAGAACGAGATAAAAGACAGAAATTATGGCCTGCAGTTGAAAAGGCGAGGAAAGAAAACAAAAGGGCCTACGTTGTAGGTGTCGGGTCTTTGTGAACGGGACTGAAATTTTCCCTCAGTAAATGAGGCTCGGTTCCACCCTGATAAATCACTTAGTGACTTTTGTTTATATCTAGATGCACCTTCTACCACAGATGATTGTTATTAGTCACTCTCACATCACCTGTGGGTTAGCATTAAATGCACAAGTGTAAACAGGTGTTGTACTCACTGTTCTATCGTTAAAACACTTGTCTCATTACACTTAAAGGCCATCTTTCATTTTAAACACATGATGAAGTGCATATTTAGTAATATGCCTAAACTTTATATTTTCATTGAATAAAAGGAAGATATTTGAAAATAAAACCAGTTGTTAATGATCCAACTCTGCTTACCTAGCTAATCCGGTTTGAAACGGCGCCTCTAGCTGGAAACAGGAAGTGACGCACAAGGAGGGAAACATTTCCGACTCTACTAAGCAATGGATTCACAGCAGCAGGACGAGGCGCCAGAATTTGAACACGAATTTACAGTTATTTATAATACTGAAGGTGCACAGCCATACAGTTTTGAGCCAGCAGCAAGAGGGGATGAGAAAAGGCAAAACAGGTCATTTAAATGGTGAAAGAAGAGCTATAGAGCTCCGGATGTCACGTGACTCTCAAGAGAGTAGACGCCATGTTGGCAGGCAACAAATGTAAACAACATGAACGGGATCGGCTTGGATTTTACTTCGTCGGAGTTTACTTCACACTTTAAAACCGAAGAAATCGTTTTATATAGTCAGAAATTAAATAGACTAAACATCTCTCCGACCCTTACCGTGCCCCTAGGATACTTTTTAAAAACGCCAGAAGCTGTCGGAGCGGACTTCTTACCGGACCTGGCCGGGGACCGCCTTGGGATTTCCCCGGAGGAGCTGGCCCAGGTGGCTGGGGAGAGGGAAGTCTGGGCCTCTCGACCAAGCCCCCACAATGCGGCTCAAAAATTGAGTCAAACCCGGAAGTACCAAACATTGCAGTTCCACCCTCATCCACTAGGGGCTGGTGTCAGAAGCGAGCAAATCCTCATTGACTCCCATGTTAAAAATACCAATTTCACAGCAGAAATAAACATGTTTACAGCCTGGTACCAAAACAGGTTTTTGTTTAAATGATCTAGTTTACACTCATGACAACTCTGAGGGGGGTGAATTTTTTTCTCACTCTTCTGTTTAAGTGTATTAAAAGCCTAAAATTCTGTATAATTAATGAGCATCAGACCCACGTGACCACAGAGCTAGCTCCGGGGAAAGGCCTCAGTAGAGCCTCGGTCTGGCCTGGAAACTGCTCCGGGATTTTGAGTCTCTGTGTTTGTGTATTCTTGTTTGGATATTATTTGTGCAATTGTTGGACAAAATGACTTGCTGTGGCATTAATTGCACTAATAGAGCGTCCAAGGAGTCTCCACTTCATTTATTTCGGTAAGTAAAATTATATTTATGTATTTTAGGTCACTGCCGAGCTGAGCTTAGATTTTAACATGTACTGTTTAACCATGAAATGTAAATGTAATAGGGTGAAACCCAGTGCATTTAACATAATGCTGCTCTTTAGAAAATGGGTTGAAATATAACATGTTGGTGGAGCTGGGTTCCCACTATCGGCTTGTGGAGCTCTCGGGAGACCGATGTTTTCCACCCGGTTCTCCCCAGCGGCAGCTCTGCACATCTCAGATCGCAGCGGCGCTTGTCTGCTGTGCGGCTACCGGCTTGTGGAGGTCTCGGAGACCTCTGTGTTCCACCCGGTGTCGGTACAAGATCTGCTCGGGTGCAAGATCGGCTCGGGGTCCTTCGACTGCCGATGACGTCAAAGTACGGCAAACCCACTCAGACAAAATACACTACACATCTATACTGTTGGAAAGAATTTAGCAGTTTCGTTATTAAAATAATGTTTCTTAAGACGTAAGTTTGTGTTTATAATGGTATTTGTAAAATAAAACACTATTTTATTCATAGTGTTGAACTCCTCTTTGAGCACATCCCTTGAAGGATCATAGGTATTAGCAACACCTGTGAAATTGTATTTGCAGGAAAGAAGTGTGTCCCGTTTATTGAAGTATTTTGTGTTTAGAGTTTTTGACGTGTTGTCCATGCGTAGTTCAGTTACGCTCATAGCTGCTAGCCAAAACTCTGGAGTTAAAAGTTTTCTGGCTTTACTAAAATACCTGTCTGTACTTATTTGATTGATGGTAGTTTTACTTTCTATTAGACTCCAAATGTAATCATTTGGCACGTTTCTAATTCATAATTTGTAATAATGTAATCGGTGATATTAGCATTAGCATTCCTATGGGTTTTTCCATGTATATTAGCATTGCGCTAACCACTCGCTGCCAAATTGCAGCCTTTGCGATTAGAAAATCTCCTTTTGTCACATCGCAATTTAATTGCACATGCAGTTAATCGTTCAGCCCTAATATACTTGCAGCTCTATGCTAAAAGTGTATTTTCAAAGAGGTAATGATGGATTTCTTTGTAAAAGTTGTCCATCTTTCCAACAGAAAGATTTGCCTGGACCAACGTAACGTGATAACAGCGTAATGTGATTACGTAATTCCGTAAGGTTCATGTTCAGCCAATCAACTACTTAGACGTCATCGGCAGTCGACGGACCCCGAGCCGATCTTGCACCCGAGCAGATCTTGTACCGACACCGGTTTTACCCAGCGGTCAGCCCGGCGTATCTCTGACTCAGAAGCTCCGGTGTTGTGCACAGTTAACTCCGGTTGTAGCTAGGTAGCTACCTCTGTTAGCTTAGCTCCTACCTCCGCGTTAGCTTTGGGTTAGCTTCAGGTTAGCTTGTAGCTAGTTCGACCGGGTGTCGTCAGTTGATCCCAGCCTTACAGCCCCACCTTCAGCTCCACTCTCTTCCCTTTTGTGGAATTGTCTGGGCTTGACGGAACCTGTGACACAGTCAAAATGGCGGTGGTGGCCACCTCCCATTTAGCCTCAAAAACGTGTTATTGGAGCCTATGGAAACCCATTGTACAATATTTATATGTCGATGCTCTCAACGCTACTGCTCATTTCTGCCTTCAGTCTGACGGCGCAGCGCAGCGTGCGCTTATTGAATCTGTGTGTGTGTGTGTGTGTGTGTGTGCGTGCAGCACAGCTCCATGAGTTGCTCCAGTCACTGCGTCTCGTTATTGGCGCTATTTATTGGGCCCACTTACTTTTCCTTAGGCCCACCCACAAATGAGTTTCTGGCTACGCTAATGGTGACATATGACAGACTTCTCGGAGTTCCGCAGCCATTACACTTTTCACCTTGCGCACCCCTATAGCGGCAGCTCGCGCACCCCTATTTGGGGAATCCCTGCTCTATTCTTTCTCTATTTGCTCTCTGCTGCGTCCGTCTGCTCTTGTCTGTTTTCCAGGCGAGGCGTTGCTCAACTTGAACAAGGCCTAGTGTCCTTCTGCCACCAGCAGAAAGCTGTTTTGGGAAGTTTAGTAAAGAAAATATGAACTTAGCGCTATAATAAACATTCTGTCCTGGTTTGCAAAACATTTTATGTTTAATAAAAAAACATAAAATGTGAATTTTAAATCTTGTTGCATTTATCAAACTGTTGTACTAACTTCATATCTCTTGGCTCTGAAGCATTAGAGTACACAGGATAAACATATGTGCCTTACCTGGGTATGACATTTAATAAAACTGCCCTCTTCTGCCCAGCTGTGTGCATCAGGTCTGTTTCTTCTCTAGAAGAATGAAAACTGGTGAAAAAATAGGTCTAAATCATAATCAGCTTTAACTTCATTAAATGATACACATTTAATCTGATGATGAGAGATGTGCTCTAACCTGTAAACAGCCTTAACCTATTAAAGCAGGATAGCCTAATATGGAAGTAATAAGATAACCCCATAACAGATATAAAGTCAGTCTACAGTGCGATAAAATGCAACAAGATTTATTACAAGTTCACATTTGATGTTTTTCAGGTTCTTTTATGAAAGAAACTGAAACTGGTTTGTTGCTAAACAGGAAAGGATGTTCATTATAGCGATGAGTTCACAATTTCTTCCAAAAACTCCTCAAGATCTGGTTGTAAACATAAAATCCTGCAGCGAGGGAAAACTGTCTCTCTTACACGAAATAGCCAATCGTAGTAGAGCCCTTCCAGCCAATCAGAGGCGAGAAAGGCGGGACCTCCTTGGACATCCTAGAATTCCACATGATGGACTTCCTTTCCTAACGACGTCTGGAAAGACGGTTCGGAGCGCATCCTTAGTGTTTTCCTAACTCACAGGGAATATCAGTGACTAAGTAGCTATGGGTCCTCAGAAATGTTGCTAGGTGGTTCGCTTTGCTCATTTGATGGAAAAAACGACAGGAAGGGGTCTGAAAAGCTGCTAGAAATAGCCACAAAGTTGCTAAGTTGGCCACGCGGTGTTGGAGGTGCGTTCGATTTGCTACTTGGAGCAAAACGAGGAGGAGGAGCAAATATTCGGCTCTTTTTGTCGCAAATATGGGTGAGTCCAAGCTTCATGTTAACGTAAAGTGGTCAGGCTTTTCTAATCCTAGCTGTTTTATTTTCTGTCAGAAGCTAATTCAGGACATCTGTGTAAGACAGCTTTCATGGGCTGCGTCAGGGGCGTTCCTGTACCTTGAAACATTGGGGGCTGAACCCAGACCCTAAAGGAATCTAGGGAAACTTACACTGTAAAATATGCTTTTTATTATAGCTTTGTTGAGCACATTGGCACCTTGTTTAAAGACAGTGATTGCATTATGTTTTTCAAAATGTATTTATTTTCTCACACACATAAAAACTGACAAAACATGTTTTATTTTCCAAAAACATCAGGAGCTGAAAATTTCAGTTTTTCTGTTTTTACAAAACAAAGCCTGTAGTCCCGTTATAGGGCTTGAGATCACACTCTTATCTTTCTGGGATGTGCACGGACCAGAGGGGTTTTCCTGGCTCAAATTGAGGCAGAGGTGGTACCATCCTGACCATGCGCCAGCACATGCATACTCTGTGTATTTAACAGACTCATTTTTTTAAAGGCAAAATATGTTTTCGTTCAGTGTTCCAATCTAAGCTTCTGTTGATTAATTGAATATTCCATCTGACAACGTTTCAAGTGAAACAAAACTGGTTCACTGCTAAAAAAATAAGAAATAAAACAACAAAATGATCAGGCTGAAATAACAGACTTTTGTTATAAAAGGCTCAGTAACAGAGCTGAACGTTTTTAGGAAAAGATTGATTCGCATTTTTCTGGTAGAAATTGCGATTTTGGTTCAATTCACAATTTTCTGCAAACAAAGGTCCAACACTAGCCTGCCAAGCCATCCTGTAGATTAAGTGAAAAGATGGTCTAGATTCTAATCTAGTACAACAAATCATTCACATTAATATTTACTATTTAACCATACAATAAAAACAGTTAAAGCTATTCATATTTTCTCCCATTATTATCTTTTATGTTATGTGTTTGTGAAGCAACTTGTGATTTTTTATCTAGAGAGGAGCTTCATAAAAACATGTTTTACTCCAAAAATGCATGGAGGAAATCTGTAGGTAGAAATAGCTTTTACATGTATTAAATAACAAAATGCACACGGTTTTCCCTGCATTACCGCGGCAGGCTGAAGCCATCTGATAGTTTATTCCTCACTAAAACATCAGCTCCATGAGAGAGACGCACGCATTCTGACGCCTTCGATTGTTTGAACTAAAGTGTGCCATCAGTAGGGTCGGGCATCGAGCATCGATTGGAACCGGTTCCAACTGTTTGTTTTTCCCGGAATCATTCAAAGTTTTTTATTTCGATTCCTAGAATGCCGACGGAAGAGGAATCCGCGGCCGATCTCCGTGAAAAATAAACGTGATCTGCAAATTGTGATCAACGCGTTTCAGAGCTGATCGCACCAGCTGTCTGTGTGCAGCACGAGTCCCCCTCCCCCCACCCAGATATCAATAAACGCGTCTGCCGAACTTTTACTCCGTGATGTAAACTTTAACTCCTGCAGCGTAGAGGAAACGTGTTAAAATCCGTCAACACGGTGGATTTAATAGAAGCTTTAAAGAACAAACTCTGGACGTGTGAGGTGAGTTTGTCTCACTGCAGAAATAAAAACACACGGAGCGTCAGCATTCAGATGCAGCCAGCTACATTTAAGTTTCACTTCCTGTTGCGACTGAACGCTGCAGCAGCATGGAGGTGTAGTTCTCAGTCATCCTGGACATGATCATCCTGAGAGTTTTAGCTGAAAACAGCTGGACGTTTCTGGATATGTTGGAGACATTTAGCCTCTCATCCCAGAGACTTCTTCCACACTTTGGTTGTGGTCAGTGTTGGGGTCCTGCCCTCATGAGAAAATTACTACGCAGTATTTTCTCCAAAGGACTGTGCCATTTACGCCCTGAAGCGTAGACAATAAAGCATATTAATATCAGCGCCAGCAGGGACTCCATGTCCCATGATCCTCCGCAGCCGGCAGCAGCTTGATGACGTCATCACGCGACGCCAAGTCTGACTGGCCCCGGTGGATACCGGCCCCTACAGAGACCGCCCGCTGGACGAGTCTATAAAGCCGAGGCGCAGAGCGGAACTCCTCCTCTCCCCTGCCCAGTTCACCTGGAGTCAGGAGACCCCCGCCTCTGCTCCTGCCGCTCCGGACGGCGTGTGTGTGACGCCTGGCTGCTGGGGTCAACGGACCAACGCCATCTGATCTGCTCAGCCCCTGGACACAGAGGGACGCCTTGTCTCTGTTCATTCAAGATTTTTTTTTCTTTTTTCTCTCTTTCTTCCTCCCGCTTCTCTAATAGTCCAAAACAAGCGGTCGACCACGTGACTGCTTTAAAATACTAGACAGTCTCTCTTCCATGCCAAGAACGCCAACGGACCATCTCGAAGTAAGCTCCTCGTTTTTTTTTAAATATCTAAGTTTGTTTTACGCTGTGGCCAGGCCAGACAGACTGTTTAGATATTTAATTTGCCTTTATGATCAATCTGTTGCTGTGTTTTTCTCTTGAGCTTTGTGAAGCGATTTGAAGTTGTTTTGATCAAGTTTACTGTGAACGTTGCTGCTGTTTGCTGCGATTCTCATCTCTGGAGGGGAATCCTCGCTTTGTTTACTTCAGCCACCTAGAAACCTTTGTGTTGAGCACTCGGCCGCTCAACCCTTAGTAAAACTCCATCTTTAATTCCAAATTACGGTCCCAGCTGCTATATCGAAGCATGGAGCGTTGGCTCACCCGACGCCACGTCGAGATAACGCTGTACGGCCGCCATTTCAGTAAAACACACTCCAGCCTTTTGTTCATCACAGTGCAGCGGGTTGATAGCCTGGCAAGCCAGACTAAATAAAGTGTGTTTAGTCTGGCCACGCTCCAGTGACAGCTCTCGGTTGTGGGGCGGGTTCTACCGTTGTCTTTCAAATGATCTCCGCATTCCACTGGACAATGAATGTGACATACTCTTGTTTCACTCTGCTGCATCATCCCACCCACCAGGCATATAGAGTGCCCTGATTGGCCCACAAAGTGAATAAAGCTCTGTGATTTGTTCACTAAGCAGATAGAGCACTATGATTGGCCCACCATTATGGACCAATCACAGCTCTTTATGTGTTTGAAACCCCTCTAGAGAGCTGTGATTGGCTAGCCAGAGTCCTGGTAGGAGCTGTGGAGGTTCCAGTGGAGCGTGCCTAGACCAAACTTTGCAAAGCAAGAATTTGGTCTAGTTCACTAGGCTAGCAGGTTGAGGCTTGATCTACGTTCAGGCACAGATCTAGGCCGACCCCCGTCTGTTTCTCCCTAGTTTAGAACGTGCTCACACCGTCAAATACGCGTCCGATCAGGGGGCCCACACCCGCTGATTATTTCGATCCTTTGTTCAACCAAACAAAGGATCCACAATTTTGTTTTTCAAACTCCCTCCAGTTTTGGTAATCAGCCTATCTCTGTCTGATTACATCATCAAGCAACCCCACCTTTGCTTGATTACATCACCGTCTCATCCCACCGGTCTGATTAGATTGTTACTCCACAGTATCACTCCATTGTTTCCTTGCTTGTTGTTTGTTTGATAAAATCAGTTGGTTGACATATTGATTGGCTAGCGCCTTGGAGGAGCTGAGGTGGTTATATTAGTTAATAAATGTTATCGCCAATGAAGTTTTGTCTCAAGTGAATTTCTCTGTGTTGGATAGAATATGACCGCCGCTCGTTAAAAGAATTTTACGAACTTTAGACAGATTGATAGAGGTTTGGATTCATTTTTCCCCAGTTAAAAGGGGTGGAGCCCTGAGGCATATCCATGGATATTCTAATTAAGTAATAAAATCGGTAAATATTTCCATATTTACGAATTTTATTGATGAATCCAAAGGGTAAGTAAAACTTACAAACTATTTGTTGGCTAATAACGCAACATAATAAACAAACACACTGGTTGTGCTGCAAGTCTTTTTCTTTTTCTCTCCAAAACATGTTTTTGTCTAAATGAAGGTGATGTTGTTGTTCATAGAGTTCAAATTCATGTTGAAGTTGAGATTATTTCATCAAGTAGGACCTGTGGTTAGCTGGCTCATGTAAAGCATGTCATGTCTTGAATGAATCGGAATCGGGACTCAATAGGAACCGGAATCGAAACAAGGAATTGGAATCGGAATTGGAGTTGTTCAAAATCAAATGATGCCCATCCCTAGCCATCAGAAACATTCAAACCATTTTTAGAAGAGAAGTTGAGCTTTCAAATCAACTAAAGTGCGACAAATCAGATAAACTGACTGGAACCTCGGCCATAGTGATTGTTTGGTTGTCTCAGCGTGTATACAACAAGCCATTCCATTGGAGGACTGTGAGGGCAGCAACATGGAAAATAGGCTTTCTTTGCTTGTAGGCTTTATAGTAATTACTGTAGCATTCAAGGTATAATTCTAATGCAGATGACCCTAATCTTCTACACTGAGATCACACAGTGGTGACCAGGTACCTGAGCTGTACTAAACTCCTCCTCAAAGATCCTTAAAGAATCAGAATTTGTGTTTGCCAAATGTTAAAAGCTGTTTTTCTGTAAATAAATGTTTTAGAAAAGTCCCAGAAAAAAACTTTATGCAAGGGCTACTAACCAGGCGCTTTTTCTGATAATGTTACATTTTCTAAGACATACAGGAGAAAATTACATGTTTGTTTACCTGGTTCATCATGTGTTGGCCCAGAGTCTTTTTGCCCAGTGCCAGCCACCAAAACTGATGAAGTGTTCTTCTTACTTCTCCCCAAAAATCGTCTGATGTCCATGTTCTATCTGACTCGGAGTGGGAACCGATCAAAGTAATAGTCGGAGATACCGGGCTTTCAGCGACCAATAAAACGAGGATTTACCTGCCTCTTCAACCATCTTTGTAACTCTTCTCTTATTGGTCAAACCATCATGCCTGTGTTGCATTCATTAAAGCCAGAAAATTTACAAAACTATGCAATGTTCTGGGGCGAAAAAACATTTGGGGAATGCTCAGG